CAAAGAATATCACTATTTCATTGTGAGCCTTCCTTTTTTTTTTTTTTTCCCAAAGCGAAAAGTTTTGAACACTAGCTTGGACTCACAATGGAGCGTTGATTCTGCTTTTTCTAGAATAGTGCTACCAACAGAACTTTCTGATGGATGGGCCTGTTCTTTACTTGCGCTGTAGAAGACAACAGCCTCTAGCCACGTGTGCTCCTACTGAGCACCTGAAACGTGCGAGTGTGACTAAGAAACTGAACTTTTTTTTTTTTTATTTGAGAGGTGGGCGTGGGTGGGTGGAAGGGAGATAGATGGGGAGAGCTTCCATCTGCTGATCCACTCCTTTTAGGAGTGAATCTATAATCTATATCGTTAACTGCCAGTTCTGAGATTTAAGCCCTGCCAGGTTTGGAGCAGTTTTCCTGGCCCATCCACACTAAGGTTGCAGTACCAGAACACGGAAAACTTGCAGTGCCCACTGAGTTTCCTGCAGGCAGAGCCGTCGGGGAGGAGGGTGCTGCTGGGCAGTGCCTTGTGCTTCCTCTGCCATCTGTCCATGTGCGAGGCTCCAGAGTGGGCAGAGCAGACTGGCAGGATCTGGAGCCCAGCTGGTGCTGCTGTGGAATTCACACAGTGGACTTTCAAGAGCTCAGCACTCATGAGAGGGTAGAAGTAGTTCTTTGTCTGGTTAAAATGAGCTTTTCCAGTGAGTCATTAAAGAGTAAGCTCTTTCACCATATACATTAATATGCTCAGGGTGAGTGAAAGAAAGTAGTAAGTGGGGCATAATGCTGGGGGATCAACGTTCCCAACATGAGCTTCTGTTCAGGTGCAAAAACAGCTCAAAACAGCAGTGCCACACTGGCATAAATTATATATACACACATTTAAATATAGATAAATGTTACTATTACTTATAAAATATATAAAATATAAACATACAAATACAACTAACTGTTAGTATTATTTCGAAAATATATAAAATATAAATAAAATATAAATATGACAAAATGTTAATATTGTTCAGAAATACATAAATATAAATTGACCCAATAAAATCAATACCAGACTTGTTTTTCATTATTCATTCAAAATATGCTAAAGAGCTAAGATGCTTAAAACCAACTGTAGTTTTTTTTTTTTTTTTTGACAGAGTGGACAGTGAGAGAGAGAGATAGAGACAAAGCTCTTCCTTTGCCGTTGGTTCACCCTCCAATGGCTGCTGTGGCCGGCGCACCGTGCTGATCTGATGGCAGGAGCCAGGTGCTTCTCCTGGTCTCCCATACGGGTGCAGGGCCCAAGCACTTGAGCCATCCTCCACTGCACTCCCGGGCCACAGCAGAGAGCTGGCCTGGAAGAGGGGCAACCGGGACAGAATCCGGCGCCCTGACCGGGACTAGAACCCGGAATGCCACCCGGAGTGCCAGCACCGCAGGCAGAGGATTAGCCTAGTGAGCCATGGCACCGGCCTCTGTGGTTTCAATCTTTGTTGAAGCTCTTGATTTCCTAGGTGAATAAAATGCATACATCAAAATGTACAGTTTTAAAGATGCACTTATGGCCTACTGTGTATTTTTTTAGGGAGGTACTTTTTATTCTTCTAAGATTTATTTATTTGAAAGGCAGAGTTACAGAGAGAGAGAGAGATGGATCTTCCATCCACCAGTTCACTCCTCAAATGCCTGCAATGACCGGGCTGGGCTGGACCAAGCCAGGAGCCAGAAGTTTCTCTGGGTCTCCCACATAGATGCAGGGTTCCAAGTACCTGGGCCATCCTCCACTGCCCTGCCCAGGCCGTCAGCAGAGAGCTGGACTGGAAGTGGAGCATTCAGGACAGGAGCGTCTAGTTTCTAACCACTTCAGGCACCCCCAGACCGGCTGTATTCAAAGCTCTGCCACGATTTTCCAAGGGTATACATCAAGGCAGATAACTTGGTATTTGCTAAGTTTCAGTTTTTCCATCTGCAAGGGGGACATAATAATATAACCTATCTGTTGAGGACAGAGTGAGGATCAAAATAAACAGTGTAGTGCATTATAGTTCTTAGCCAATACTTGTGCACAATGAGTGCTCAACTACATGTCAGCTACTTTTTTTATATTTTAAGGGAAAGTTTACATTCACTGAAATGTTAACAACATGAAAATATTTATTTGCAAGGCAGAGAGACAGAGCAAGAGAAAGAGAGATGGAGAATTCCCAGCTGCTGGTTCACTGCCAAAATGATTGCACCAGCAGATGGCAGAGTAGAGGAGTTGATAGTACTGGCCGGGTCAAAGCCAGGAGCTGGGAACACAACACAGATCTCTTGTGTGTGTGGCAAGGACCCAATTATTTGAGCTATTGCCAGTGCCTCCCACAGTCTGCATTAGCAGGAAGCAGGCATCAAAAAGTGAAGCCAGGAATTGAACCTAGGCCCTTGGATGTGGCACATGGGCATCCTAACTGGCATCTTAACTGCTGGGTCAAATGTCCACTCCCCTCTCCTGTACATTTTTTAATAAGTGAGTATACTAATGCAACCCTTACCCCCAGCAAGGTAAGGACCATTTTTGTCACCCAGAAAATTCTCCAGATATCTTCCCAGTCCACCCCTGCCACTGTTATAAATATTTTCACCACAGATTACCTTTGCCTTTCAAGTAAATGGAATCATACAGTAGGCACTCTTGTGTCACATATTTGCAATCAGGTAATATATTCATTCACATGCCTTAAAATTGAAAATGTACATTTTAAAACTCGTGGGCAAAAAGTAACATGTTTCCCTTCCATCCCTGATCCCTGGTCACCCAGTCTTCTCTTGAGGCAAACAATGTTATTAGTTAAATGTGGACCTATCCCATAGCTGCTATTACTAATACAGGTGTTTGTACAAGACACCTTGAAAAATCAGTCTTAAAAGGTTACCCAGGCTGGTGCCGCAGCTCAATAGGCTAATCCTCCGCCTGCGGCGCCAGTACTCCGGGTGGCACCCGGGATTCTAGTCCCGGTCAGGGCGCCGGATTCTGTCCCGGTTGCCCCTCTTCCAGGCCAGCTCTCTGCTGTGGCCCGGGAGTGCAATGGAGGATGGCCCAAGTGCTTGGGCCCTGCACCCACATGGGAGACCAGGAGAAGCACCTGGCTCCTGGCTTCGGATCAGCGTGGTGGGCCGGCCGCAGCGGCGGCCATTGGAGGGTGAACCAATGGAAAAAGGAAGACCTTTCTCTCTGTCTCTCTCTCTCACTGTCCACTCTGCCTGTCAAAAATAAATAAATAAATAAATAAATAAATAAATAAATAAAGGTTACCCAAAGAATCCTGTGACACCCCAGATAAGACAAGATAATCGGTTTTTAAATGATTTTTACTTTTAGACATTAATTCCTACTGTCGGATTGTGACACTCTACCTTCCCACGATTTAGGCAACCTTTAAAGCACATCTAGGTCCAGTCCTAGCATCTGTGATTCTCATTCACTGAACGAAAATGAAAATACAACTGTGAACCAAACAAAACAAAGCTCCTGGCCTGACGGAACTAATAGTTTGGTGGAGGAAACAAGTACAAATTCACCAAAATAATCCTACAGTTAGAGTTTCATGCAGCATGGCAGGAGTAAGGGAGTAGGGCAGGGAGGTCAGAAGGTGCTTCTTGGAGTTGGAGACCTCTCTGAGGCCAAGCTGGAACAGAGCCTGCGGAGGGAGGGAGCTGGTGAATAGGAGGGAATGCAAGAGGCCAGCTTGGCGGGAACCAAGAGGGCAGGATGGAGTGCGGGCGGAGGCCGAGATACCCGGGGCAGGTGGGCAAGGTGCTTGCCCAGCCACGCCTTGGCCAGTCAGGCTGTCTTTTGGGACAGAATAGGAAGCTATGGAAGTGGTTTGTGCTAGGAATGACAGGGTCAAGGTTGCATTTACAAAAAGTCACTTTCTATGTTGTGTAAAAGATTACAGAGGGGCTATCAGGGGATACCGGTAAGCCCATTAGGAGACGTGCAGGTGAAGGCAGCTAAGACAATGGTGCTGATGGAGAAGACAGAAGAGGTGGGATTCAGGGAAAACTTGGCAGATAAAAACCAACAGGATTTTCTGATGAGATAAATACGGGAGAGAGAGGTAGGTGATGTAGAATGTCTTCGTTTTCTTAGACAAGATGGATTTGGTGGAGATGAAATTGTGCATTGAAATTGACTTTGTGGTGTGACCTGAGGTTATGCAAAATATGTGCTTCAGTTAAATTTCAAGTTTTCATTTTCATTTTGTTGAAAAAACCCGAGTTGTTTTTCTGAAATGCTTGCTGCAGTGGAACGCCTTCTGGAGACTACGTCTGACAAACTTGAATTAGAAAATAACCAGAGATACCAAGTTTCTGCTCAGATATCTTGGAGCATTTTATGCTGATAATTTGTTATCATTTTTTGTCACATGAGAGTGGTTTATACTCTACTACTTCTCTTGCCTTTTTTCCTGGCGTGAGGCTGGAATTAAGGGGCCGTGTCTGTCCCAAATGGAGCGCTTTCCTTCCAAGGGCTTCTTCGTTGATGCGGGCTGGCTGCCTGTGGGACCCGGGCCCCGCGCCGGGCGGCGGTTGACACGGCGCGGGGCCGGGGGGCGGCGGAGTCCTGCAGCCGGCGCGGTGCGCCTGAGGACGCGGGGCGGACGGCCCGCGGAGCCGAGAGCCGGGCCGAGGCGCTGACCTGGCGGCGGGACGGGACGACTGGTGTTCCTGGGGAAACTGAGCCCTCACCACCACCTTCGAGGACACAGCTCCGTTCCCTCTGGGTGACCCGAGGAGAAGTCACCTGCGTCCGTTACTTGCAAAGTTGTTATCTCTGGCCTAGGGGAGGCCGGCATGGTGCTGGTTCCAGACAAGTGTTGGATAAGCCAGGGGTGCCAGGTGACTCCCCACGATGCACCCGAGGAGCATTTGTAGCCATCAGCTTATGACTTAGCGGGGCAAGCCTCAAATTAACCGCGAGATTTCCAGTAGGTTGGATTGTGCTGCCGGTGATTGTCTTACAGTTGCTGTGATTTCTCTATGTCTTTCTGTCTGTCTTTTGGTTGTTTTTGATCATCTTGGTTGCTATTTTTAATGTGGCATAGATAGGTAGCCAACTAGTTAGGACTACGGATCCTGACAGAGAAGCAGCTAGTTAGGTCTTCGGAGCCGGAAGCTCCACCCTTAACTGTCAATCAAAACTTCCGTTTTCTGGTAGCGCACCTGTTACCTGTAGGCCTAGGTCGCAGAGGCTTTAAGAGGAGTGGGAGGTAGGAGGCTGGCGTCTTTTTCTCGGTGGCCTATGCCGCAGCTCCGGTCTGTTTGGCACTCGTTTTTTCTTTGGGTAAGGGCAGGAACGTTTCCGCTTTCCTGCCTCCCTGTATCTGGACAGTTGGTCCCCCACTGCAAAGCAGGCTGTTCTTGTTTGCGCACACCGGCCGTCTCCGCTTAGTTCTGTCTTCGCGGAAGACAGAAGCCTGGTTTAAAATTCAGGAAGTTCATTGCCTACAGCATTTCCAGTGGAGACCCAACCAAATCTTTCAGAAAGGTTCCCTCGCTTTCCACCTATGTATGCGTTAGGGATGATGAAAAAAAACACAGCTTTTGTGGGTCGCAGTGTGGGGTAATAAACGCCTTTCTTTATTGAGGGTGAATCCAGTGCTTCGTGAAGTTAGAGGAGAATCATCTCTCTGTAGTTTCTGTGTTCTCGGCTGGTGTTAGCAGTTTTCTTTTTGCCCTGGAATTTTATTAGTAGAATGTCATCATTGTACCAGAAGCTCTCTTTCTGTTCTGAAATGCTAGCCCTGTGGTCTCTAAGAACTCTGTGTCCAGGAAATGCTAGGAAACTTGTGTGGAAGTACAATCAAACAGTTCACAAGTCTAATGCGCAGGTGATGAGTTTTTACTAAGTGACCCACACAGATAAAAAAAATAGAACATTAGTAGGTTGGGGTATACCCGGGAGAGGAAAGGTTGGTTTTTGAGGCTTGTGGATGTTGAAACTTTAGTATTAGCTTTTGTGGTTATATCAGTTAGCAAGCAATGCTTACTCTGGTCTCCCCACATCCTTGCTGATGCTTTTCCGTTTAGAAAATTGTTGCTATTCTGGTTAGAGATGTGGTTCTATAGCGATGTGGTTTTATTTTTCATTTCCTGGGATTGAGGTTGAGTAGCTTTTACTGACCATTCCTGTGTCCTCTTGTGAAACCCTGTAAATTATTTTTGCTTGATTTTCATTGATATGCTTATTTTTCAATTGATTTATAATTCTTTATTTGGAATCTGAGCCCCTTCTAGTCTATATTTTGCCTTTGTCCTTTCCACTGTATTTTAATCTTCTAATGGTGTGTTTTTGAGAAATCAAATTTTTAATTCTTTTTAAAAAGATCTTATTCATTTGAAAGTTAAAGTTACAGGAAGAGATGACTGCTTTCCTCGGGTCATTAGCAGGGAGCTGGATCAGAAGTGGAACAGCTGGGACACAAACCAGCACCCATATGGGATGCTGGTGCCTTTACCAGTATGCCATGATACTGGCCCTGGCTACTGCTTTTTGTGTACTGTTTAAGAAATCTGGGGGCCAGCGCTGTGGCGTAGTGGGCTAAGCCTCCACTTACATATGGGCGCCGGTTTGTGTCCTGGCTGCTCCTCTTCTGATCCAGCTCCCTGCTAATGGCCTGGGAAAGCAGTGTGGGATGGGCCAAGTGCTTGGGCCCCTGCACACACAAGGGAGACCCAGAGGAAGTGCTTGGTTGCCGGTTTCAGATCGGCCCAGATCTGGCCGTTGCAGCCATTTGAGAACTGAACCAGCAGATGGAAGACCTTTCTCTCTGTCTCTTCCTCAATCTGTCTGTAATGCTACCTCTCAAATAAATAAATAAATAAAATGTTTTAAAAATATAAAAAAACTGCACTAGCTTATGAAGATATTTTTCTGTGTTGTAGACATTTTATTTTACTTTTTGTATTTAAGGTATACAATTTACAGTTAATTCCATATAGATTGTAGGGATTCAAGATTTACTCTGTATGGGGATGGTGCTGTGGCGTAGTAGGTAAAGCTGCTGCTTGTGGTGCCAGCATCCCATATGGATGCTGGTTGGACTCCTGGCTGCTACACTTTTCATTCAGCTCCCTGCTAATGGGCCTAGGAAAGCAGCAGAGAGTGGCCCAAGTGCCTGGGCCGCTAAACCTGCACAGGAGACATGGAAGAAGCTCCTGGCTCCTGGCTTCTGATTAGCTCAGCTCTGGCCATTGCAGCTATTTGCGTAGTGAGCCAGCATATGGAAGATCTCCCTCTCACCTCTCCCTCCCTCCCTCTCTCTCTCTCTCTTTCTCTCTGTAACTGCATTTCAAATAAATAATCTTTTTAAAAAAGATTTACTCTTTATAATATGGATATCTATCTGCCCATCAATTTCTATGAATTTTGTAACCGAAATTGAATCTATTTATTACTTTGGGGAGAACTGACATCTTAACAATGTTAAGTCTTTCAATTTATGAACATGGTAGAGTGCCCCATTTTTTAAGCTCTTTTAAAGTTTCTTAATGTTTTACAGTATTTTGTGTAGAAGTTTTGCATATCTTTTGTTATTTATTCTTTATTTATTTTTATTTATTTTTTGACAGGCAGAGTGGACAGTAAGAGAGAGAGAGACAGAGAGAAAGGTCTTCCTTTTTTCTGTTGGTTCACCCCTCAATGGCCGCTGCAGCTGGCATGCTGCAGCCAGCGCACCAAGCTGATCTGAAGCCAGGAGCCAGGTGCTTCTCCTGGTCTCCCCTGGGGTGCAGGACCCAAGGACTTGGGCCATCCTCCACTGCACTCCCTGGCCACAGCAGAGAGCTGGACTGGAAGAGGAGCGACCAGGACTAGAACCCGGTGTGCTGGCGCCGCAGGCGGAGGATTAGCCTTTTGAGCCGTGGCGCCGGCCTATTCTTTTTTTTTTTTTTTTTTTTTTTGAGATTTATTTATTTATTTGAAAGAGTTACACAGAGAAGGAGAGGCAGAGAGAGGGAGGCCTTCCATCTGCTGGTTCACTCCCCAATTGCCAGCAATGGCCGGAGCTGAAGCCAGGAGCTTATTCCCAGTCTCCCACATGGGTGCAGGGACCCAAGGACTTGAGCAACCCTCTGCTGCTTTCCCAGGCCATAGCAGAGAGCTGGATTGGAAGTGGAGCAGCCAGGACTTGAACTGGCACTGTAGGCAGCAGCTTTACCCACTATACCACAGTGCCCTTGTTATTTATTCTTACGTATTTGATGTTTCACACTTTATTACAAATGATAATTTTACACTTGATCTTAGCTAAAAGGCCAAGAAGCAATTACAAATAATAATAATTTTAAAATAGTTGTGACCAGCATATAGAAATACAATTGAATTATTTCTTCAGTTTGCTCTGGGATTATTTTAAATTGATTCTAGCTATGATTTCTTTAATAAATTATGTCTTTATTTATGACTGAGTCCAAATTATACCTTGTCTTCTTTATCATTGTAACTAAGTTTTGCATGGTCTTCGTTTTCACGCCGTATCCCTAGTGTCGAGGACTGAAGTCTATCCACAGTCATTGTGTGGGACTATGGGGATATGAAGCTGAGTGAGGTTATGCACTTGCCCTTAAGGAGCTTAGAGACTGGTGGGTGTAGTAGAAGTGAAAGACCATTTCTCTCCACAGGGGGAAGTACCCTGCTGGAAATTGGTTTGCAGCATGCATAGAGGGCCCTTGAATCAAACTGGGGGGAGTGGGAGGGGGAAAGGGGCTCCTCCTTACCTGCCGCTTCACTTTTCAGTTTCAGTTGCATATATGCAAGCAAGACCCTAAACTATTACCTGGAAAATTCCAGAAGCAAACAACTCCTAGGTTTTGAATTGTGTGCTGTTTTGAGTCACTTGATGGAATTTCACTGTCCTGTCTGGGCTGTGAATCCTTTGTCCAGCATAACCACACAGTATGCACTACTTAGAGCCCAACAGCCACTTTAGCAAGCAGCGACTTTAGCACAGCATCTTCTTTATTTTTTTTTTTTTTTTTTTTGACAGGCAGAGTGGACAGTGAGAGAGAGAGACAGAGAGAAAGGTCTTCCTTTGCCGTTGGTTCACCCTCCAATGGCCGCCGCGGCCGGTGCGCTGCGGCCGGCGCACCGCGCTGATCCGATGGCAGGAGCCAGGTGCTTCTCCTGGTCTCCCATGGGGTGCAGGGCCCAAGCACCTGGGCCATCCTCCACTGCACTCCCTGGCCACAGCAGAGGGCTGGCCTGGAAGAGGGGCAACCGGGACAGAATCCGGCGCCCCGACCGGGACTAGAACCCGGTGTGCCGGCGCCGCTAGGCGGAGGATTAGCCCAGTGAGCCGCGGCGCCGGCCAGCACCTCCTATCTTGATATTGCCCTAACTCCTACTTGCTTCACAGTGGCCCCAAAGGGCAAGAGTAGTGTGGGTGATAATTTGGATATGCCAGTGAGAAGCTGTAAAGAACTTCCTTTAAGTGAAAAGGTGAAAGGTCATGACTTAATAAGGAAGGAAAAAGGGGCCAGCACTGTGGCACAGTGGGTTAAAGCCCTGGCCTGAAGTGCTGGCATCCTATATGGGCACCGGTTCAAGTTCCGGCTGCTCCTCTTCCGATCCAGCTCTCTGCTATGGCCTGGGAAAGCAGGAGAAGATGGCCCAAGTCCTTGGGCCCCTGCACTCGCGTGGGAGACCCAGAAGAAACTCCTGGCTCCTGGCTTCACATCGGCGCAGCTCCAGCCGTTGCGGCCATTTAGGGAGTGAACCATCAGATGGAAGACCCCTCTCTTTCTCTCTCTCTCTGCCTCTGCTTCTGCCTCTCTGTAACTCTGTCTCTCAAATAAATACATAAATCTTTAAAAAAATAAGGAAAAAATTGTAAGCTGAGGTTGCTAGATCTGTGGTAGGAACCGATTCCCTATAAAATTGTGAAGAAAGAGGAAATTTGTGCTGGTTTTGCTGGTACAGCAGACTGCCAGAGTTGTGGTCCTAATGTGTGGTAAGTTCTTAGTTCAGATGGGAAGGGTGTTGTACGAGGTTTTGAACTTCCACCAGGGGGCTTGCGATGTGTCCCCCGAGGATAAGGAGGGATGTGCTGGATGGGCTTAGTCCTGAGATCTGGGCAAACAAAATGGACTGTGGGTCTGGGCTGCTGTTTGCTGAACACACTTTTGCTTAATCCCTTGGCTTTCAGTTTTGATCCTTGTTCTAGTCTTTTTGAGTCTGGAATCTTTATTTTTCAGGGTTTCCAGAGAAAGCATTTTTTTTTTTTTTTGACAGGCAGAGTTAGTGAGAGAGAGAGAGAGAGAGAGACAGAGAGAAAGGTCTTTCTTTTTCCGTTGGTTCACCCCTCAAATGGCTGCTATGGCTGGCTCTGCGGCCGGCGCACTGCGCCGATCTGGAGCCAGCAACCAGATGCTTCCTCCTGGTCTCCCATCGGGTGCAGGGCCCAAGGACCTGGGCCATCCTCCACTGCCTTCCCGGACCACAGCAGAGAGCTGGACTGGAAGAGGAGCAACCAGGATAGAACCGGTGCTCCAACCGGGACTAGAACCCAGGGTGCCAGCGCTGCAGGCAGAGGATTAGCCTAGTGAGCTGCAGCGCCGGCCCAGAGAAAGCATTTTTGAGGAGCTAGGGATGGTGGTGTAAAAGGGAACCTGTACCTTATACAGATTTAAAGCCACTATGAAAGTCAGTCTGGAAATTCCTCAGAAACCTGAATATAACCCTACCATACAACCCAGCCACCCCACTCCTTGGAATTTACCCAAAGGAAATTAAATTGGTAAACAAAGCGGTCTGCATCTTAATGTTTATTGCAGCTCAATTCACAATAGCTAAGACCTGGAATCAACCTAAATGCCCATCAACAGTAGACTGGATAAAGAAATTATGGGATGTGTACTCTATAGAATACTATACAGCAGTAAAAAACAATGAAATCCGGTCATTTGCAACAAAATGGAGGAATTTGGAAAACATCATGCTGAGTGAAATAAGCCAGTCCCAAAGGGACAAATATCATATGTTCTCCCTGATCGGTGACAACTAACCGAGCACCAAAAAGGAAACCTGTTGAAGTGAAATGGACACTATGAGAAACAGTGACTTGATCAGCCCTTGCCCTGACTGTTGATGAACAACTTAATACTTTATCCCTTTTAGTATTTTTTTGTTCTACTTAATACTATTGGTTGAACTCTGTAATTAATACACAATTATTCTTAAGTGTTGAAATTTAACTGAAAAGTGATCCCTGTTAAATATAAGAGTGGGAATAAGAGAGGGAGGAGATGTACAATTTGGGACATGCTCAATCGCACTTGCCCTAAATGGTAGAGTTAGAAACGTGCCAGGGGATTCCAATTCAATCTCATCAAGGTGGCATGTACCAATGCCATCTCACTAGTCCAAGCAATCAATTTCTGTTCACAATTGATCATAATGATAGGACTAAGAGTCAAAGGGATCACTTAAACAAGACTAGTGTCTGCAAATACTAACTGATAGAATAAAAAAGGAGAGAACGATCCAACATGGGAAGCGGGATACACAGCAGACTCATAGAATGGCAGATGTCCTAAACAGCACTCTGGCCTCAGAATCAGCCCTTAAGGCATTCAGATCTGGCTGAAAAGCCCCTGAGAGTATTTTAGGCATGGAAAGCCAAGAAACTGTGGCAAAAAAAAAAAAAAAAAAAAAAAAAAACCACCACCAAAAAACCTATATGAAAGATCTCTGTGAGTGAGATCCCAGTGGAAAGAACAGGTCATCAAAGAAGGAGGTACCTTTCTCTGAAGGGAGGAGAGAAGTTCCACTTTGACTATGACCTTGTCTAAATAAGATCAGAGTCAGCAAACTCAAAAGGCCTCCATAGCCTTGGCAACTCATGACAAGAGCCTAGGGTGATTACTGACACCATAAACAAGAGTGTTAATTTGTTAACAAGAGTCACTGTGCACTTACTCCTCACATAGGATCTCTGTCCTAAATGTGCTGTACATTGTGATTTAATGCTATAACTAGTACTCAAACAGTATTTTACACATTATTTTCTGTGTGGGTGCAAACTGTTGAAATCTTTACTTAATATATGCTAAACTGATCTTCTGTGTATAAAGATAATTGAAAGTGAATCTTAATGTGAATGGAAGGGGAGAGGGAACAGGAGATGGGAGGGTCATGGGTGGGAGGGAAGTTACGGGTGGGAAAGCCATTGTAATCCATAAGCTGTACTTTGGACATTTATATTCATTAAATAAAAGTTAAAAATAAAAGCCACTACTGTTCTTCTGAGCCCATGCCTTTCCCCCAGTGACCTGGATGCTGAGGTCCTGAGCCCATCATGGGTTCAGCGAGTGAGCCAGATCACCTGCTCCGTCACCCTTCTGCGGACTGGTAGGTTCCGCTTCCTCTCCTCCTCAGTCATTTCTTTCTCCCTCTCTTTTCTTGCCATAGCTGTCTCTTACCTGTCTGAGAATGTTAAAGATAATTCTTTTAAACTTTCATTCCGTGCATAGTTTTTTTCCCAGTTACTTTTCTTCTGTTTAGTGTCGTCCCAACAGTAGAGAACCTTCTCACAGGTCTGGTGATCTTTGGTTGTCTGTTCGTGATTAAGAGCTGACAACTAAAAGCTGATTGGAAGCCCTGAGCTTGTAAGCAGGGCTTTCTGGCTTCTGGTTCTGCCCTACACTCCAGAGTCTAAAGCAGTGGTTCTCGGCTTTGGCTGCACATTAGCATCACATGGCAGAGGCTTGAGGGGGAGAGGGCGGTGGCATTTGGCAGAGGCAGGAAAGGTGCAGCCGGCAATGTCAGCATCCCATGAGGCTGCTGGTTCGAGTCTCAGCTGCTCCACTTCCGATCCAGCTCCCTGCTAATGTGTCTGGGAAAGCAGCGGACAATGGCTCAAGTGCTTGGGCCCCTGCACCCATGTGGGAGACCCATATTAAGCTCCTGGCTGCTGGTTTCTGCCTGATCGAGCCCTGGCCATTATGGCCATTTGGGGAGTGGACTAGCAGATAGGAGTTTCTCTCTTTCTCTCTCACTTTCTTCTCTCTGTAACAATGATTTCAAATAAATAAATCTAAAAGAAAAATCACACGAGGAGCTTTAAAGAAAACTAGAGCAAATACATTAGAATCTCTGGGGATAGGGCCCATGTAGTAATAATTTTGAAAAATTCGGATGTGGCTACATAGAATAAAATGACCGCTGTTTAAATTTACAGTTTGATGATTTTTGTTGTAGCTAGTATAAGATTCAAAGTGTGGTAAAAATTCTGGAAAAAAATCCTTCATGTGCCTTTATTCTGTACCCCCACTCCTTGCCCAGAGGCGACCACCACTGTGAGGCTTATTTTAATTTGAGAGGTAGAGCTACAGACAGAGGGAGACAGAAGAGTCTTCCATCTGCTGGTTCACTCCCCAAATGGCTGCAGTGGCCAGAGCTGGGCCAATCTGAAGCCAGGAACCAGGAGCTTCTTCTGGGTCTCCCAATGAGTGCAGGGGCCTAAGCACTTGGGCCATCTTCTACTGATTTTCCAGGCCATTAGCGGAGAGCTAGATTGGAAGAGGAGCAGCTGGGACTTGAACTGGCACCCATATGGGACGCAGGTGCTGCAGGCAGAGGCTTAGCCCACTGTGCCACAGTGCAGGCCCCTGCATCTTTTTTTTTTTTTAATTTTTAAAAGATTTATTTATTTGAAAGAGTTACACAGAGAGAGAAGGAGAGCCAGAGAGAAGGAGAGAGAGAGGTCTTCCATCTGATGGTTCATTCCCCAATTGGCAGCAACGGCTGGAGCTGCGCCAATCTGAAGCCAGGAGTCAGGAGCTTCTTCTGGGTCTCCCACCTGGGTGCAGGGGCCCAAGGGCTTGGGCCATCTTCTACTGCTTTCCCAGGCCACAGCAGAGAGAGCTGGATCAGAAGCGGAGCAGCCAGGACATGAACCAGCACCATATGGGATGCTGGCACTGCAGGCGGCTGCTTTACCTGCTATGGCACAGCTCTGGTTCCTCCAAATTCTTTTTAGAAGTATTCATTATTCCAGAATCTTATAATCTCAAGATTGGAAATAATTTGAAAGAGAATCCATTCTAGTGAGTTATTTGATACTTTCTGTAAAGTAGTAGTCAAGCCTAAAATGAGGGAAACTCTGGAAAAATGGATTGGGCTGTGAATCTCTGTAGGTAACTGGAGCTCTGTATGTGCATTAAGTAAATAGTAGATTTGCATGTTTGTAATACATAATAAAATGTATTCAAAAGTCATCATAGGTTTGTCATTTCAGTTACTAGTATTTAAATCCAACTATTGTCATGGGGAGAGATAGTACTTAGGATTTTTTTATTTTGAAAAAAGTTTCTGTATCAGAAAAAATGGGAAACTATTGTTAAAAATGAAGTTATAGAGATCTTAGTTTATAATTAACATACAGTGATTAGTTTATTAACATTTCTATTAGTAATTCTAATAGCTTAGTTATTCTTTGCCTCTGTATTTTGATTTTCTTTAAAACAGTACTACAATAAGTTTCTAAATGCCACTCTTTGAGATGGAGTATTTTACCCTGAAGTTCATGATAAAATTAAATTATTCTCAATAGGTTTCCTTTTAGGCTAAGTTTATATAATTTAAAGTACTTACCTTTAAATTATGTTTATTTTCTATATCAAGATGGTCTCACGATAATGGATACTTTTTTTTTTTTCCTTCCTTCAAGATTTATTTGTATATTTGAAAGGAGAGCGACAGAGAGGGAGAACAGAGAGATGCAGTCTTCACCTGCAGGTTTACTTCCCAGATGGATGTGCTAGCCCAGGTGTGGGCCTGGCCAAACCCAGGAGCACGAAATCCATGCTGGTCTCCTGCATGTGTGGCAGAGTTGGAAATACTTGGGCCATCTTCTGCTGCCTTCCCAGGAGCATTAGCAGGGAGCTGGCTCAGGAGCAGAGCAAGCCAGGACTTGAACCTGTGCTCTGATACGGGATATTAACATCAGAAGCAGTGGCTTAACCTGCTGCATCACAGTGCCTACCCCAAGCGGATGGGTTTTGGTTTCTTTCTTTCTTTTTTCTTTATTTTTATTTTTTTGACAGACAAAGTTAGACAGTGAGAGAGAGACAGAAAGGTCTTCCTTCCATTGGTTCATCCCCCAAATAGCCGCTATGGCTGGCTCTGTGGCCGGCGCGCTGCGCCAATCCGAAGCCAGGAGCTGGGTGCTTCCTCCTGGTCTCCCATGCAGGTGCAGGGCCCAAGGACCTGGGCCATCCTCCACTGCCTTCCTGGGCCACAGCAGAGAGCTGGCCTGGAAGAGGAGCAACCAGGACTAGAACCCAGGGAGCTGGCGCTGCAGGCAGAGGATCAGCCTAGTGAGCCGTGGCGCCGGTTGGTTTCTTTATTTTTTTTTAACACGTAGCAAATAAAAATAAACATTTATGTTTAGTATACAGGATCATAAAAATTAGTAAATGACCTAGAAATTAGAAACATTGTGGATGAGTTATTAAGAAACATCAACGATCACACATTTAGCATCCCCGTATGTCAAGCATAGTGGTAGGTATTGAGGAGATAATGGTGATCTATATTCTAGTTTGACAAAGTCCTTGCTCAGAATTTGCAAACAAAAGGAAAAACAGAGCTGGCATACTTTTGTTTTTGAGGTGATGATCTTTGTAAAAGGTAATTTAGGGGCCAGCATTGTGGAATAGTAGGTAAACCTGTGGCCTGCAGTGCTAGCATCCCATATCGGCACCAGTACATGTCTCAGCTGCTCCACTTCCAATCCAGCTCCCTGCTACCAGTCTGGGAAAAGCAGCGGAGGATGGCCCAAGTGTTTGGGCCCCTGCCACCCATGGATGAAGCTCCTGGGTCCTGGTTTCTTCCTGGCTCAGCCCTGACTGTTGCGGCCATCTGGGGAGTACACCAGCGGATGGAAGACCTCTCTGTCTCTCCTTCTCCATAACTCTCTCAAATAAATTAATTAATTTAAGAAAGGTAATTTAGTGATAGTTTTTTTTTTTTTTAATTTTGAGACTTAAAAAAATTAAATTTGAAAGAGAGAGGTTTCACTCCCCAAATGCCTGTAACAGCAAGAGCTGGGCCAGACTGAACCAGGAGCTTGGAACTGAAACTGGGCTTTTCACATGGGTGGCAGGAGCCCAACTATGTCAACTACTACCTCCCAGGATGTCCATTAGCAAGGAAACTGGAATCCAGAGCAGGAGTGGAGCTGGAACGTGAACCGAGACACTCTGCTGTGGGATGAAAGTTGCACCAAATGTCCTCCCTTTGAGGCTGTTTATAACTAGTTAAGGTAAAAATGTGGCAGATGCTGATACCTAGGCAGATGGGGCCCACAAGCTGCCCACAGAGCCCCTCTTCCCTTCCCCCACGGCGTACTCTACCTTTTAAAAAGATTCAAGGTGACATAGATTGGTCTTCAAGGATCTCAGCATAAAAAGTGTACGGCTAGCCAGAGACAAAGACACAGCCAAGTTTAAAGGATTCTGCTGTGTAGAATGCGATGAGGTGGTGTCCCTTAAGGAAGCTCTGACTTACGATGGTACAGGTGCACTGTTGGGTGATTGGTCACTTTGTCTGGACATTACCTAAGGCAGAAAACGAGACAGAGGTGGTTTTGGATTCTGGAGAGGCGGACCGGATGACAGAGGCTTCGGGGATGACTCCTCAGGAGGCCATTGCCCCGGGACCGGCCAACGGGCTCTCCGCTTCAGAGATGGCCCTCCCCTGCGCGGCCCCAATATGGACTTCAGAGACCCTGACACTGGCTTAAACCTTGAACGGTCGCAACGCTCCTCAATCAAGTCGCCAATCCCAACTCTGTTATCTTGGGGGAGCCAGGCCCAGAGAGGAAGTGGTCCCCAAGGGGCAAGAATGCACTTGTGTGGGAGGGACCGGATGGAGGGAACGATGCGGCGGGGCAGGGCACGCAGCTTTCTGGGAGAGGACCGAGGGCGGCCCCTGCGCGCGTGCCCGGTTCTGGTGCTGCTCCTTTTTCTCCTTGGCCTTTTCTGTGGCCAAGACTGGCCAGACTCCAGGCGTGTCTTTGGTTTCCTCAGTGCTTCTCTTCCCACCTGCATGTCGAGTTCTGTATTGCTGTGGCTCCCAAGAAAATGACAAGCCAGACAGCGTCTTGTCTCTACGCGGCGGTGATGAGCGTGCCTGGGTGGAGGCGCCTTGCTTCCAGGGCACCGGTACAATTGCAGCTTCCTCCCCGTCCTGTTCAGGGTGCTCCCGCCTCCCCACCATCCCCAGGTGCATTATTGGGGACCCAGCAGGCTCCCAGTGGGAAGCGTAAGACCTGGAAGAGCAATGTGGAATACCAGAGGGCAGTCTGTGTCGAAGGCAACTGGAGACTCTCCAAAGCAGCTCGCTCT